GCGATCATCATATGGTTTTGCATTATTCCATCTGCAGATTACTGAGGTGTAACTCCAATGCTACCATTTAGTTATTTCACGCATCTGTACGCAGGGACAGTACCAAGCGGGAAATTCATATAATGTGTACAGTAAACATCCTTAGAGAAAATACTGCTTCCTCCTCATGCTGGTTATGAGTCATTTGAGTGCCAACAGTGTCCAAAACTAAGTGCTTGGTCGCATGCGAAACCCGGGTGTGCTTTTAAGCCTCAAACTGAAATATTTCAGCCGCAAATGGGCGCAGAATGTTTTCGTAAAATTACATGTCCTTAGCATGTCTGTTAGCGAAATCGCTTTTGTTACACGTTATCTTTAAAGTATCCAAACTCGCGCATATCAAAGCTAATCTTAAGCTTACATACCCATTTATGGAAGAAAAATCTCGTGAAGTTAGAACATACCAACAACTTCCTGAACCGACCAACGATTGTGAAGTCTCAACTTTGACGCATTCGTGCATAAAATATATACGTGCATCAAAGCTGAATTAAAAATCTTTATGGGAGGGCATGAAATATCACTGTGAAATTCCAGCTTTCCACTTTTTCTATCCCCGATATCACTTTTTGCCAAAAAGTTTGCATTTTTTTTTTGAGACGTCCGTACTTGGGGCTCATGTATGTGCGAATGACAACATTAAAGTAGGAGGGTCGCACATGACGTGGGCACATACTTCCGAAGTTTTAGCTTTCTAGCTTTTCTGGTTCTCGAATTAAAAGTGGATGACAATACACACACAGCTTCTTGCCAATATGTATTTTTGGATTTGCATAACACGCAAAAACGCATAAAAATTATTAAAAGTTAAATAAATATTACAGTATAGATATTACAAGCCACGCTCAGCTGTGCCAAATATACGTCTCATCTAGCCTTTTTAGAAAGGAAAATCCTGAAAACTTGCTCAGTCTCGCGCAGTCTGGAAGACCGAGATAATGGACCAAGGTAGTGGTGCATGCACTGGTGAAAGGATTCTGGGTGCATTCTCCGTTTCATCCCTTCGCTGTAAACGTAGGCAATGAAATTCATAGCAGCGTTTCTAGAAATGATAAGATTCGTTGCACAGGACAGCTCAACGGTTATATTGTCGATAACGACACCACCATTGATTACAATTTTCTTTGTATGTACTTGTGGTAGAAAACCGTCATCAGCAACACGGATTAAAGAAAGAAGGAGAGGACCATGGGTGCAAACTTGGCCACCGCTTACTCCAGCAGAAAAAAAACCACAGCGTTAGTTTTCATTCGAAAAAAGATCAGTCTTTGCAAACTTCAATTTGGCGGTGGTTAGCAAACTTTCCACTCTCTGTATCTAATGATTCAAACATATCACATCCTGCACAGAGTCGGCAAAACTTCCCGGCCCTTTGTCAGCTGCAGCGCAGGAAACTAGCAGGTTAAAACCAATTTATACAGCACCTTTGTAATCAAAAATGAAGCCAAGGCAAATGAAATAATTGCATATTTGAACTTTTTGTTCACACATTTGAAATACTGAAAAATTTTCTTACATTGTTCTAGAACCTTCTCCAACGGGAGCGCCACAACAATCTCCTGAAAATCAACAACAGTCTCCTGAAAAGCGACTACAGTCTCCTGAAAAGCTACAACAGACTCTAGGAACGCCACAACAATCTCCCGAATCACCTCAACAGTCTCCGGCTAACCCTATACCTGCACCACCAGGAGTCCCAAGAAAAAGTGTAGTCGGAGGAGCATCAAGAGCTCAAGCTGAAGTACGTCATTTTCAGGCGTTCTTTGCTCTACGCATTGCGAAAATGCATGTTATCGAGGGTTGTCTGTGTATATGTATGTCTGTCTGTGTATCTTTGCGCCTGTACCGAAGAAACTGAAGATGCTGGAGGGCTAAAACTTTCTAAGCATAGCCAACGGCGTTTGGCCAGATGCTCGTGAAATTTGACGTTAACTTCGCACCCAAAGTAGCTGGAGTGCTGAAATTTTCTGAGCGTTGCCCAGGACCGTGTTTGAGCAAGTACACGCGAAAGCAGTACTCACGCTTCCTCTCGCAAACGAACATATGAAATTTGACATAACTGCTCAACGAGAACAGCCGAATTTCTGAAATTTCCTGAGCAATAGCCCAGGACCACGCTTAGGCAAGCGCACATGGAAATAACATCCATGTTTCCCTTCACGTGCGAACTGATCTCACGGCCGAAGCAGCTGGAGCACTGAAATTTCAAGCTGCGGCATAGAGCAGACGCACGTGAAAACAGCATCCACATTCCTTTCAGGCGCGGACACGTGAGACCTTACGTGGTTCCGTGACAGAAACATATGAAGCGTTGACTTTTTTTAAACGGGGACTGAGAGTCATTGTAATAATTTCTGACATTTATGGCGGCCAGTCTCAATTCTTTTAGCTGGAAGCATCTGCCGGAACAAAAAGAGTTATTAGCGACAAAAAATTGCGGAGGGTATTGTGCAAAAAACGCATTTTTGCACCGGCAGTCGGTGCGCTGACCAATCATTATTACTGTGCTGCGATAGTAGAAACTTTGCGGAATTTCCAGTAGGAGGTTTTGGAAAATTTTTTTTAAATTTGTAAAATGTAGTAACATACGCCAGGGAACCGAATCCGTCATCAGCTTTCTCGTAAGCAACCTCCGAATGAAAGAGTCACCAGTAGCTTTGCTAACAGGTTATAATTGTTGGCATTTCGGACTACTTTTGCGTGCCTCAGTCTCTCACAGAGAGAGAAAATACAAAGAGCTTTTTGGCCGATTAACGTTTTGACCTCATAAGTACTCATATGCACTGCATATCGTATGGATCTTGTGTGGTATTGTTGGCGTACATACGGAATTGCTCATTTCTGAATAAGGCTGCATTGTAGCTAACTGCGTAAGCACGTTTAACTGCTAAGGCCCAATATTTTCATAAATGAAGCATAATCTTAAAGGAATTTTAATTCTTAAAAGAATTTAAAGAAATTAAGGAATTTTTAAGAAATTTTAAAGGAATCTTATGAAATTAAAGAATTTTAAGCATAAACTAATTTCAAATCTCCTGAACATTCTACTACAGGAGGGTATTGATAATTACGAGGATGTCAACATTGGCGAGCAATAAGGAAAGGAAAAGTCAGCATTCATCAGTCAGAAAATTCCACTTTTTTCAGCATCGGTAAAAACACATATCATTCATTGTATACTACAGTTTCTACAATAGCAGTGGTGTATCTACCAATGATTTTTGGGGGAAGGAGGGGGTTGCCGCATTGAGGAGCCGCTAGAATCTGTTTGCGTAAAAGAAAATTTTAGCGCTAAGTTTTAGTTAGAGGAGAGCACAATTTAACAGGAGGGAATAATTTAGTTAAAAATTGCAGAATTTTAATAAAAGAGCGCTAAATTGAACTAAATTTGGGTAAAATTTCGCCTCAAAGTTATCAAAATCAGTTCGTGTGAGCTAGACTTCTCAAAATAAGTAAGAAAAGTCTAAGAAAGTTTAAAAAATGTTGCACCCAAACAACAGTATCCAAAGAAAATAGGAAAAGGCGGCATTTTAGACAGAAAGTGGTGGGGCGAGGGGAGGGAAGGGGAGGAGGGAGAGGGAGAGGAAAAAAGAAGAAATGGGTATCTTTTCATACTGAAACGGGTTCACCACTGCTATTTATATTTGCAAATGCACCTAATATTGGACTGCTGCTTTTGCTGAACAAGCAGAGCAGCATATTGACAAATGATGTGATTATTTTGTTATTTAAATATGCTGTCTTATGAAATATCAATAAAAATTTGAACGTGTTTCAAAAGCAGATCAAAGGTGGAGCAAAAGTAGGTCAAAGCAGACCAAAGGTGGATGAGGGATGGATCGAAGGTGGATCAAAAGTGGGTCAAAGGTAGATCAAAAGTAGATCAAAGGTAGATCAGGGATAAATCAAAGGTAGATCAGAAGTGGATCAAAGGCAGATCAAAAGTAGATCAGAGGTAGATCGAAAGTGGATTGAAGACAGGTCAAACGCAGATCAAAGGTAACTCGAAGGCAGACCAAAGGTAGATCAGAGGTGAATCAAAAGAAGATCGGAGGTAGATCAAAAGGAGGTCAAAAGTAGATCAAAGGCGGATAGAAAGTAGATCAAAGAAGGGCAGGTAAAAAGTAGATCAAAGGGCTTCTGAAACCAATATACATAAATAATCCTGCAGCGTCGGTACCACAAATGAACGACTGCCATCCGCGTTGCGGCAATTTGCTTTTTCTCTGGATATGGTTGCTTTTATACTACATTTACTTTTATACTGCAAACACTTAAAAAGTTTGCTTTTATACTACAAATACAGATTGTAAGCGCTTTTAACGGTCAAAACTGATACATACAACTACAAATCGTGAGTGTCACGCTGTAAAAAGAAACATGAAAAACATGGAACAATAAAAGTAACAAATAACAAGGTATACCTTACGCAGCTAAAAATAGATGCAAGCTTAGCGCACGCTAGAAAAAGCAAAAGCTGGAATGATGCATGCTGGAAAGTCTACCTTTTATGAGCCCTCTAGGAAAGCCCTGCGGGATCTCTCACGGCTTTTTTTGATTTTTTTTTTTTTTTTTTTTGAGGGAAAACCGCGTTATCTCGCACAGCTCTTGCTTCTGCCCATCCACCCCCTGAAAAAAGTTCCTAGGAAAAAGCGCTTACCCATGCTGAAAGAAACATCAAGCCGCTAGTAAGCTATAAAATCTATCCCTTGAGTAGACAGTCGTTTTCTGGAACCCGAATTCTGCAACACCACTAATGCTTATGATGCAAACAAGGAATTTCGAGAACGAAATGCATGTAAATCTCAGCAGATTTCAGGCTGGCGCCAATACAACAAATTTAGGATGCTTCTAGGATGAAAGAGGTATGCAGTGCGAGTTCGGACTTTGGCAGGTATTAGCAACTAATCACAGTGACAAAAACCTTAAGATCTGTCAACCCGTTGATGTAAATGTCTTTGTTATGATGTATAAGATGAAGATGTTTCATCGGAATCATCAGAATCTACATTCGAACTACCCGATGATATCACCATTTCTGCCTCACCTTCTTCGATTGTTGGAGTTTGCATGAACGTAAGTGCGGCACTGAAATACGGGCTGGAATTAAAATCGCATATCCATAGGTACAGGATCTGCATATCCTTAAAAGTTAGTTGGATGCAGTGCAAGAAAATAATGGCGCCTTACACGTGGAGACTTGCGCACGGTCATGCGTTTATAGCTAGGCATCTATGGTCCTTCCTTTCTATTCTATTTCTTTTGTAAAATGTGATTTTGTGGGTATTTGCTGTTACGACAGGCTTAAACGTGTATTCGGCTCAAAAACAGTCTGAATAGTTCCCTGGGGATTTGCTTTTAATCTCTCTTCCTGCATTTGCAAGGTCGAGAACGAGGAACTTCTGAAAATACAAAAAACAGCCTCTTTCTTCCTTAATCACATAAAATCGATCTTCTAGCTTAGTGTGTTACTTAGGCTTTCAAATATCCTACGTAACAAGATGGGTATGCAGACACAAATGACAAAAAATACGAAGTGATGTGCCGGCAATCTGGGGGGTTTATAATAAAGTTTTACAGACAAACAAGGCTATATATAAGCCAATACATATACGTACATAAATACATAAATACATACATACATACATACATACATACATACATACGTACGTACATACATACATACATACATACATACATACATAC